CTCGAGGAAGGATCGGAGCCTTGCAAGTGCATGGCCACCAATTCCCAACCCGGACAGCCTCCCCAGGAGGATACCATGGTCTATGGTATTGAATGCCGCCGAGATGTCGGGGTGGACCAACAGAGATGTTTTACCCCTGTCAGCCTCCCTCAACAGGTCATCACACAGGGTGACCAATGCCGTTTCTGTACCATGGCGCAGCCTGAAGCCCGACTGAAACGGATCCAGGGCATCTGTTTCATCCAAATGAGCCTGAAGCTGGTCAGCCACCACCCTCTCCACCACTTTGCTCATGAAAGAAACATTGGCGACGGGCTTATAATTGCCAATTTTGTCCGCTGCCAAATTCGGTTTCTTTCTTATGGGACTAATGAGTGTCTCCTTGAGGGCAGGAGGAACCCTGCCCTCAAGGAAAGACCCATTAATTATCGCTGTGGCCCATTCTGTTGTTATGGGCCTGGCTGTTTGATTAGTCAGGCCAAGGAAGGGTCAAGGGAGGAGGTGGTGGCACGACAGCGATCAAGCACTTTGTCAAGCGCTTAGGAGCCTCGTGGCACAGTGGTTAAACTGCTGTACTGCAGCCAAAACTGTGCTCACGACCTGGGGTTCAATCCCAGGTAGCTGGCTCAAGGGTGACTCAGCCTTCTATCCTTCTGAGGTCGGTAAAATGAGTACCCAGCTTGCTGGGGGGGGCAATGTGTAGCCTGCATTATTATATACCGCTATGGGGCAGTTTATAAGCAGCACGCTTTGCTATGCTATGGCCACAGTATCCGGCGCCACAGCTGCAAGAGATTGAAAATCACCGGGCAAGATGGAGCGCTGGACATCTCTGCTCGAGAGAGCTCCCGGCGGATGGCCTCCACTTTAGATTTTAAAAATGCTGCAAATTGGTCCAGTGAAATACTGGGGGAGGGCCATCACTCAGACCAATTCTGGATAGGTCGTGAGCTATACAGAATAACTCTGCCTGCTGATTTGAAGCTTCACTTATCCGGTTAGTGAAGTATGCATGGCTAGCAGTCTTTACCTTGGCCAGGTAAAGGTTAGTTGTGATCCTGACAGCTATCCAATTATAATCCATCGGGTTCTTCCTCCACTTGCCCTCTAGCCTTCTCCTAAGCTGCTTCATCACTCGTAGGTCCTGGTTAAACCAGGGAGCAGGCCGAGCTCTGCATTGGAGAGGGCGTTTAGGCACAATCGTATCTATAGCCCTGGTGGCGGCGGTAAACCAGCCATCAACCAGAGTCCCGACAGGAGCACCAGCCAGGTCAGCTGTAACTCCTCTCATGGCATCCTGGAATCCTACAGGATCCAGTAGACTTTGAGGGTGGACCATAGAAATAGGTCCCTGCTCCATGCGAGGGGAGAGAGCCATTAAGAGGTTACATTTTATTAGGTGGTTATCTGACCATGACAAGGGGACCGACACCATCAGACCACACTCACTCCAGTTGGTGGGAAAAAACAGGTCTAACATGTGACCACCCACGTGGGTGGGGCCGTTGACATGTTGGGACATGTTCAAGGAAGCAATGGTTTCCAGGAATTCAAGAGCTGGCCCAGATGTCTCTGCCTCCATGTGAATGTTGAAATCACCCAAAACCAACAGCTTTGGGGATCTCAACAATGGTACAGAGACAAAGTCCACCAACTCCAGTAGGGAAATGGCTGGCTTGCGGGGAGCGCGGTAACCCAGCAAGATCCCAATACCCGTTTCTTTGTTCTTTTACATTTTGTCTAATATTAGAATTACCTAGAATTACTTGGAAATTTCTAGGACAATCTTGCAGCAGCAGAAGGCCTAGAATTTGGTCTGTTTTGGCATCTACCTTTGAGAGGGGAATTCTTTTGGTTGGAGACAGCTGCTTAACACTATCTGAGTGAGAAAGATGTGCGTGGTCAAGTTCCTCCCTGGGACCTGGCGGTAGATAGACTACTGTTAATACCACCAGCTCTCTTTAATTCCTTTGACCAGGAGACTGGGAGCAACTGGGGGACTTTTCCTTGTTTATCTCCCCCTAGCTGACTTACATTTCTGACATTATTTGAGATTAATTCCATCATGCACAACAAAAATATGATGCATGCAGCCCAAGCAACTGAAACAGATCTTTGGCACTTTAAGAAAAACATAATTTAAGTTTCTTTTGAATTAATGGGACTCAAGTGACACAAAGGGAGATTCATACTAAACATTAAAAAAGACATCCTGATGAGTTCAGGCATTTGACAATGAAACAGATTACATTGGAAGCTAATGGACTATCTCCTTCACTAAAGGTTTTTAGATAGTGATTGGAGGCCATCCGTCCAGGATGTTTTAGCTATAGATTCCTGCACTGGGTGGGGGTGGGGGTTGGCTAAATGATTCTTTCAGCCCCCTCCCTCCATTCTCTTGAAATCTGAGAATACAGTCACACTGCTGAAATTTCCAGAGGAATAGCCATATTAGTCTGTTGCAGCAAAACCAGAAAATAGTCTTGAGGCACTTTAAAGACCAACAAGCTTTCATGGAGTGCAGCCCAATTCTTCTGAAGCAGTGGAAGAAATGGTCCCCAAAATTTTCTGCCAACTGAACTACATTAGTCTTTCTCTTGGCAGTCTATAGTGGAAAATATAAGACTCACAGGCATACCTCCTATGCTTACCTAATGTAGGTGGAGACCACGTGCCAGCCTCTTCAGATGCTTAACAGTAACAACATGAAAATAACATTAACAACCCTCATGTATCTGGCTAACATTATTTAATCGTCACTGCAGCCATTCTCTCCCTGCTGGTTCCTGCCAATACAAAGGATGGGGGATTGGGATTGGCCGTTGCCCTGTTTCCTTAATGCTTCTGACTGGCTAATTCCCTTTGGTCAGCCATTCTGTGATCACTGACTACTCATTTTGTGATGGTAACCTTTCATTAAGTCAAGATTGTAATGCCAGAAAAAGATGCTAGGCTGTCATTACCCTATCCCAGAATTTGGGGCATTTTTTCACAAAATGCTCAAACTATCTTTGACCTTTTCTCATGCTACTTACACAAATGGCTGTTTATCTTTTTATAGGGAAGAGAAAGTGAAGGCGGGGCACTAATTGCGTGTGTGGACATTCTGCCCACAGGTCTTCTATTAAGAGCCTTCTTGAGGAAGGAGTTGCTTTAAATCTCATATGTGAAAAGGCCTGAACACTGCTGCTTATCAAGGTCACTGGATGCCTTCTTTTTAATACTGTAGTCTGAATAGTGCTATGTATTCTGAAGATCATAATTGAAAAAGTATCTCTTCGTCTTAGTATCTAGAAATGCTTTTGAACACTATGCAGAAATCCAAGATGTGGCATCCTGGGGCAAATTTCCAGAGCATGCTTCAGTGCTATGGTTCAGCTATGGAAGTCTTGTAAGAAAAGTGATAAACCATCAGGCAGTATTAGGCAACAGCCTGAAATAACAGATGCTGGAGGGCAACAGGGATTCCCCTAAAATCTCTCTGACCGTTTTTCTCTGTGGGTTGACAAAACTATATATGCCTCACAAACTGGCCAACTGCCCCTTGGTCTAGAAGAGGATGCTATTTTATTGCCAATAAAATTTAACTGCCAATCCAGTGAGATTATTTTAGCATCGTCCTATTCATGGAACCAAATGTCTTTTGCTGGTCCTGGTTGTAAACATAAACACAGGACAAATAATGAGGCCAGGAGTTTAAAACTCACCAGTGAGACTTGTTTTGTCTTCCTGAATCTATACAACTATGTTTCTTCCAAACTGGCTGGTTCTTAGAGTCTGCCAATCTTCTTGTCCTGTTGCTCTTTAAAACATATGCCATGATATTTTCCAATAAAATAATAAAATATTCTTTTATTCTTTTTATTCTTCCTAGTCTAACCCTGAAAAATATCTCACTTTCAAATGAAACCGGAAGTAAATAGATAATCTCTCTTCACCATCATTGTACAGAAAGAGAACAGCACTGTTCTCCTTGAAAACATATGGTGAGCAGACTCATCGGAATCCAGTTAATGCATACCGGCCCTTAGGTAGGATGGGGAGAGTTGGAAACATTTTACAGTAGTATTTCCTAGCTGTGAATAAAATGGAAAGCAGGAACAGACATCAAGGATCTTTCAACAAATGTAATTTAAATGGTTCACTTTCAGTTTTTTTTAGGGCAACTTGACAAGCATTTAGTGGGATCTGACCAGCTACTGAGTAGCAACAGGCAGCTGTCTTGGTGCAGCTTGACCACGATGGGGGATGGTGTTGGGGGTAGGGATCTGCAAATTGCATGGTGCATGTTTGAGTCCAATGTGAAATTGAGTCTGGAGTGTGTGAGACACTGCCTGTCATGACTTTCACTAAGCAATGAGTTGACACCCTTCTCCATGAGGAATTGGAGAGTCAAGCCACCCTTTTGGGAGGCAAACAGTTCATTGCTTCCAGAACTGGAGAGATCCATAGGGAGGACGGGAAGTCCAGGTGGCTGAAATGTAGCTGGGGGTGGAGGGAGGGTGGAGGGCAGGGAGAGATTAAAAATGCACTTTCCCTTGGGCTTTCATAATGCAGATCTGGAGAGGAAGCTGCTGATTTTTGTTATAAAAACCAGGATTGGAAATATTCAGGAAAGATCACTGATAATTCTAACAACCATATGACATTATCTTGAAAGAGGCAAATCTCCCTTCTTTCTCTGCCTAGGAAATACTCCAGAGAAATCCAAAATATAGAAATCTAAAATATCTGAATTAAGACGGGATGGTTCAGGGGAACAATCAAAGGCAGTTAATAGACATAAGCTGCCTAGCTGAAGCTGTACTAAAAAGCAAGTTCTTATTTTGAAGCCCCCCCCAAAAAAACACAAAAACATTTCCTGGTTAATTTTGTGTTAAATAACTTCCATATACCTCCTTGTTGCAATGTATGGTGGTGAGTAATGTGGTTTTTAAAAAAATTACAGTGGTAAGAAAAATAAAGGAAACTATAAAATAGCTTGCAGGCAATCACAGCTAGGGAGATGCAATTGTTTCTAGTTCTTGACTGCAGCTCCAAGTAACAAAACGTCACTTGTAATAGATGCTGCTGCCCAATCAGCAGCTACACAGTCATACAGTGCTGGCTCAACTAGCCCCAGACACTATAACTACCATGTAATGCCTCCTGGGAAGAGTATAAGGCTCCATCTTCATTGGCTTGTAGTGGCAACTGCTGAGTACTATGTTGTGACCTACATCATCAGCCAAACTGCTTGTTCTGGATGAAGGAAGGAGCAATAGGGTGAGTTTACATTTTAATGTGTAGTAATCTAAACCATTATACCCAGTGGAATGACTGTAGTGAAGAGAGGGATGGACTAGGATTTAGGAGGCTTGGGTTCGAATCTCTGCTCAGCCATGAAAACTCACTGGGGATGTTGAAATATTAAAACCAATTCTCAAGTACAGTGGTGCCTCACATAGCGAGGTTAATCTGTTCCGGATTAACCCTCGCTATGTAAAAACATCGCTAAACGGAATGTAAAAACCCATTGTTTAATGCGTTCCAATGGGCCCTAAACTTACCGTTCAGCGAAGTTTCCTCCATAGCGGCAGCCATTTTCGCACCCTCGGTAAGCGAGGGGAGGGCGCGAAAACGCTGCACGTGGCCATTTCAGGGCTTCCGGCGGCCATTTTGTAACCGCCGAACAGCTGATCCGCGAGCATTGCAAAGCGAAGATCGGTAAGCGAAATGCTTACCGATCGTCGCTATGCAAGTTTTTGCCATAGGGACCGACGCTATGCCTCCGCATTAGCGATCCTGAAAAAGGGATCACTATGCAGATTCGTTGTTATACGGTGCTTTTGTTAAGCAAGGCACCACTGTATCTCACTTACCATGAAAGCAGCATTAGGGTTGCTCTAAGTTGGTTCTGACAACCTATGCATTTCCCACAGGAATCACTTGAGGTGTGCAACACACCCTTCTTACCCTGTGTTAGTTGCACTGGTCCCTCTCTTTCAGCTTCCCAAAGGCTCGTTTTACATCCAACTTAAGTTTGACTGAAGGAGAGCAAATCATTCATTTAACTTGCTCTTTACCCAACTGGATGCAACGAAGCACACCTGGAGAAACAGATGGCCATGATATTCCTGGATGCGGAGAAAGCTTTCGACAATCTTGACTGGAATTTTATGATACACACATTGGAAACACTGCAGGTTGGAGAAAGATTTATGAAACTAATCAAAGCAATATATACTGAACAAAAGGCAAAAGTAAGAATCAATGGCGAATTATCAAAAGAAATCCAAATACAGAAAGGTACTAGACAGGGGTGTCCTCTCTCCCCACTCCTATTTATTTTGACTCTGGAAATACTTAACGAACAAATTAGACATAAAAAGGAATTGAAAGGATTAAAAGTGAAAGGTCAAGTCTACAAACTCCAGGCCTTTGCGGATGATTTAGTTATTATACTGGAAGAACCATTGGATTCAATAGAAGACTTAATGACAACGTTAAAAATTTTTGGCGACATGGCAGGAATGAGAATAAATCAAAAGAAGACTAAATTACTTACCAAGAACATGAGAGAACAGGAACGAGAAGAGTTAATAGAGAAGATGAACTTCCAAGAGGAGTAGAAAATCGATATTTAGAAATACAAATCACAAAGAAGACAAGCACATTATTCAAAGACAACTACATGAAATTAATGAAGGAGATACAGAACAATTTGGAGAAATGGGATAAATTACAACTATTGTTGTTGGGAAGAACTGCGGCGATTAAAATGACTATCTTGCCAAAAATTTTATTTTTATTTCAGTCAATTCCTATCATATTAAAGCAGTCATTTTTAAAAGAATTTAATAAGATAATTATGAGATTTATATGGCAAGGTAAAAAACCAAGAATTAAAATTAAGG